AACAAACACAAACAAACAAACATAAACAAAATCAGTAGCCCTACTATATACAGACGATAAAGGGGGCAGAGAAAGAAATCAGAGAAACATCACCTTTGACAATAGCTACAAACAATATAAAATATCTTGGAGTAACACTAACCAAGCAAGTAAATGACCTATATAATAAGAATTTTGAGTCTTTAACGAAAGAAATAAAAGAAGATACCAGAAAATGGAAAGATCTTCCATGCTCTTGGATAAGTAGGATCAACAAAGGAAAAATGGCAGTCTTGCCAAAAGCAATCTACAGATTCAATGTAATCCCTGTCAAAATCCCAGCACAATTCTTCACAGACCTTAAAAAACAAAAGACCCAGGATAGCCAAAACAACCCTGTACAATAAAGGAACTTCTGGAGGCATCATCATCCCTGACTTCAAGCTCTATTATAGAGCTATAGTCCTGAAAACAGCTTGGTATTGGTGCAAAAATAGACAGGAAGACCAATGGAATTGAATTGAAAACCCTGATACTAACCCACACATCTACGAACACCTTATTTTTGGCAAAGCAGCCAAAATTATACAATAGAAAAAGCATCTTCAACAAATGGTGCTGGCATAACTGGATGTTCACTTGTAGAAGACTGCAGATAGATCCATATCTATTGCCATGCACAAAACTTTTAAGTCCAAATGGATCAAAGACCTCAACATAAATCCAACCACTTTGAACCTCTTAGAAGAGAAAGAGGGAGGTACCCTTGAAGTAATTGGCACAGGAGACCACTTCCTGAACAAAACACCAGTAGCACAGACACTGAAATCAACAATTAATAAACGCGACCTCCTCAAACTGAGAAGTTTCTGTAAGGCAAAGAACACAGTCAGCAAGACAAAACAGCAGCCCACAGACTGGGAAAAGATATTAAACAACCCTGCATCTAACACAGGGCTGATCTCCAAAACATACAAAGAACTCAAGAAGCTAGTCACCAAAATACCAAATATTCCAATTAAAAAGTGGAATACAGAACTAAATAGAAAATTTTCAATAGAGGAAAGCAAAATGGCTGAAAGACATGTAAGAAAGTACTCAACATCCTTAGCCAGCAGAAAATACAAATCAAAACAACCCTATCAGAAAGGCTAAAATCAAAAACACCAAAGATAGTTTATGCTGGAGAGGATGTAGAGAAAGGGGAATATTCCTCCACTGTTGGTGGGAGTGCAAACTCATATAGTCACTTTAGAAATAAGTATGGCGGTTCCTTAGGAAAATGAGAATCAGGATACCTCAAGATCCAGTAATTCCACTCTTAGGCATATACCTAACAGATGCACATTCATACAACAAGGACATTTGTTCAGCTATGTTCACAGTAGCATTATTTGTAATAGCCAGAACCTGGAAGCAATCTAAATGCTCCTCAACTGAAGGATGGATGGAGAAAATGTGGTACATTTACACAATGGAGTACGACTCAGCAGAAAAAAAAAATAATGGAATCTTGAAATTCGCAGGCAAATGGATGGAACTAGAAGAAACATCCCGAGTGAAGTAACCCAGTAACAAAAGACAAATACAGTATGTACTCACTCATATGTGGTTTTTATAGATAGAGCAAAGGATTACCAGCTTACAGTCCACACCACCAGAAAAGCTAGGAAACAAGGAGGACCCTAAGAGAGACATACATGGTCCCCTGGAGAAGGGGAAAGGGACAAGATCTCCCAAGCAAATTGGGAACATTGGGAGAGGAGGGAGGGAGTCAGGAGGAAGAGGAGGGGAGAGGTGTGCATGAGGGAGCAGGAAGATTGAGTCAGGGAAAGAATAGAGGAGAGCAAGAAAAGAGACACCACAATAGAGGGAGCCATTATAGGCTTTAAGAGAAATCTGGCACTAGGGAAATGTCCAGGGATCTACAAGGATGACCCAACTAACAATCTAAGCAATAGTGGAGCAGCTACCTTAAATGCCCTTCCTTAATAATGAGATTGATGACTACCTTAATGCCATTCTACAGCCTTCATCTAGTAGATGATGGAAGCAGAAACAGACATTCATGGCTAAACACTGTGGAATCCAGTTGCAGAGAGGGAAGAGTGATGAGCAAAGGAATCAAGACCAGGTTGGTGAAACCCACAGAATCAGGTGACATGAACAAGGGGGAGCTCATGGGCTCCAGTCTGATAGCTGGGAAACCAGCATAGGATGAACCCAGACTCCCTGAATGTGGGTGTTAGTTAGGAGGACTAGGCAGTCTATGGGGCCTCTGGTAATGGACCAGTATTTATACCTAGTATACAAATGGACTTTGGGAACCCATTCCACATAGAGGGATACTCTCTCAGTCTAGACACACGGGGTAGGGCCTGGGCCCTGCTCCAAATGATATGACATACTTTGAAGACTCCCCATGGAAGGCCTCACCCTCCCTGGGGAGCAGAAAGGGGATGGGATGAGGGTTGGTGGGGGGAACAGGGGAGGATGTGAGGATGAGGGAACTGGGATTGAC